CTGTACTGCACTGGTGACAGAATGTTAAAAGAAAAAAAAAAAGTGAACAAATTACAACTTCAAAAAACTCACCATGTCTCTTGCTAAATACCTCAGACTGCAGACTGTCTACTTTCCAAAAAGGGGTTCATCTGGGTGGGCATTTAAACTGTCCTGGCATTTTAGGTCCTCAATAATGAGATGGGCATATATATATATATATATATATATATATATATATATATATATATATATATATATATATATATATATATATATATATATATATATATATATATATATATATATATATATATATATATATTATTAGGTGTGTTTTTTTTTTTTAATAACAAAGTAGAAAAAAAATATTTTTTCACTGTTTTTGGACTTTTTTATTTATATAGTAAAAAAAACCTAGTGGTGATGAAATGACACCGAAAGAAAGCTCTGTTTGTTGGGGATTTGGGTACAATGTTGCATGACCAAGCAATTGCCAGTTAAAGTAACGCAGTACTGAATAGTAAAAAAATGTCCTGGTCATAAAGGGGGTAAAACATTCCAGAGGTCAAGTGGTTAAAAATGGTGATTTTTATATATTTTTTTTAAATGTGTTTACACTTAGCGATCACATGCGGCTGAAAAAAATTATGACAGTGCCTCTTTACAGGACTTTTTATAAAGTGTTTTTTTTTTTTCTTCCCAAACAAAAATCTCCTTCTCTTCAAAATCGTGCCGTATTCATGTCATCCATTTTCAGCAGCACTTATATTTGTGAGCAACGATTTTCAAGGATGAAGCACATGAAGGGCAAAACTAGAACCAAAATATCTGATGCGCACCTTGAGAATTCATTGAGAATTAATACATCCATCTAACCAGATATTGATGCGTTAGTTTATCAAAAACAGTGCCAAATATTGCACTAGTTTTAGGTTTCCCCCATTTACTTTTATAATAAATTACAAAAAATATTTGTATTACTCAGATAAGTACATTATCTTTATCAATGAATGTTAACTTGTCATCTGCCTGACCTTTTTCTGCTCATCAGCTATCTGTATGGTTAGTGTACTCTGTGTGGCCCAAGACAATTCCTCTTCTTCCAATGTGGCCCAGGAAAGTCAGGTTGGACAGCCCTGCTTTAAAGAATTTCCACACTCTAAAATACAATGTACTTATTAACCGCTTTAACTCCACTCTATAGCCGATAAACAGTTACATCTCTGCTCTCCAGTCCAGGGAGGATGGCACTGGACCAGAATGCGACAGCACTGAAATGACAATTGGCCTGGAGGAAGGGGAGTGAACGTGTCCAGTATTGAAGTGGTTATTGTGATCCATACAGTAAAACATAACTAATTGTGGAAGTTAAATGTACATTGGTGGTCTGATCTGTAATTTCTCATAACCACCAATCAGATTCAATCAAGCTCTGAAAGTTTGTATGTGAGTAATAGCAAAGGAAGCAGAGAGAGGAAGTACATGTCTAATAACTGTTTTAGTGTAAGGCACAATAAAAATGTCTTCATGTTTTTCATAGCATCTACTTGACCGCAAAGCTCCAACTCTTACCAGTAGATGCCAACGGGTGTGATTCAGCCCCACTGTCAGCCCTCCACATTTACACAGAGAAGCTGGAGCTTTGCGGTCACACGACTCATAAAAAAACATGAAAAGAAGGTATTGTCATTGCAATTTATGCTAAAATGTGTGTGGGGCAAAGGAGAACACTGGAGAGGTTACATTTAAAAAATGGGGTATTGCATAGCCTTAACTTCTACTTTGAGTGTAACATGAATATATTATCTATTTATAGCCATTATGCAGTGTTTGTTGTATTTGATCAGTAATTAAAATGCTGTGTGTGTGTTACCCTTTAATGAACTGACCCCCAGGTGCATACTTTTAGGATATGTGGTGGTTGCTTTCTTGTTAGTATACAATTATGAAAACTCATGTCAGTGGCTGTGGAAATTCTTGTACAAAATTTAATTCTGAGGTTTTTCAGTAGCTAGAACCCTTTAATCAGCAGTGGATAAAGCTGGTTAGGTCTGTTGATGCACAGGAGTGTGTCAGACAGTAGTTAATTGAAGACTTGCATTGTTTCTGCCTCATGAACTATATTGATTCTACTTAGAGTGACTTTCCATTTGCCAGTTTTCATTTAATAGGCAGTAGTTCTTCAAATAAGACTGTCATTTTCATGTGTTTCAGAAAACTGCACTTGAGATACTAAAACCGGGCTTTACGGGTCAGCTAACAAAATACTAGACAGATTTGCTACAAGTCTCCTAAATAAAGCTCATAAAATAGTTTTTTTATGGCTTGCAATGTCTTTCAAATACACTTTATATCTTAGGGATTTCTTTATGGCGCAGTTATTTGTATTTTGTCAGCTTTCCACATATCCATTATATACACGCTTACACAAATCACAAAGGCATCCAGAGTTGCTAGTTTTTCTTATTTATTTAAGAATGCCAAATTGGGTCAAAGATTGGCCAAGCCCAAGTGACTGAGCCTTTGGAGGGGAGAAGGCCGCTGTTTATATGTTGACTATAGTGTTCAATACACAGCTGGTCAATTTTCGTAAACATGAAATAGATAAATTAAATCATAGCTTACACTCTGTTATTACCAGAGCACTAAAACCAGTTGCAATCACTACTCTGCTACAACTTTTATTTTTGTCATAACTACACTTTAAAAAAACATATATTTTTACCCATCCCAGCAAATTCTGAAAAGCATCAGTTTCTTTAGAGAGTCCTATTTACAGAAACACTGCTTGCAACCTCTTGGCTCTGAGTACTTTTTGGAATTACAGCCCTGGTTAACTTTAGTTACATGTCCAACATCTAAAAAAGGTTGATCGTCTATGATAAAAAAGTAACTGCTGTCTCATGCCACCAGACATCAGACCTCTTTATGTGGTAGATAGCATGTAGATACACAAACCGTTTTATCCAGGCTGTTGGGTTCTTAGCTATTGTGAGGGAAGTGTAGGCGGGACAGAACACACGAGAAGGATGATAAACACACAAAGTTTTATTGAAATAGGTGAGGCACTCAATCAGGGTAACAAGGGTAGTGTCCGGGTACCCAGAAGGGAGGGAGGAGTCCAAACAGGGATAATCTGGACCACGGTAGGGCGGTTCAGGTAGCGATAATCCGAGCACTCAGTGGGGGCAGTCCAGATAGCTCCAATAATCCAGGCACACAGTAGGGGCAGTTCAAGCAAGTATTAATCTGGGTACACAATAGGGGCAGTTCAGATGGCTCCAATAATCCAGGCACACAATGGGGGCAGTTCAGGCAAGTATTAATCCGGGTACACAATAGGGGCAGTTCAGGCAAGTATTAATCCGGGTTGTTCAAGCAAGCAATAGTCCAAGTATTCAATGGGGCAGTCCAGTCAGGGGTGATATGGGCACACGTTAAGGCAGTCCAGGTAGTGGCAAGGGGCACACAATAAGGACAGTTCCACACTCTGCCACATGCCAGTTGTAGGTTCAGTCAAGGCTGGTAGTTTCCAGGGACAACCAGCGATCAGCAGACAGGGACCTGCACGGTACTCCGCTTTCCAGGGACAACAGCAGGCTCACAGGGACTCAGCGGGGGTCTTGGCTGTGGGGTCTGGCCTCAGCTCAGACCTCACACAGCGCTTCTCTCCAGAGCAGGGGACCAACAGCTCTTCAGAGTGCTGTGTGTCTTGGCCACAGCTTCAAGACTACACAGGCAATATAGGACCACAAGTCCCAGCAGTGCACAAAGCAAAGCACAGTTCAATGCATCTCCTAGTTAGGGCTCGGCCAGGAGGGGCTCTGACTTCCTCTCTTTAGCGCTCTCTTTCATAAGGAGACCTCATGGCCCTTTCAATTGTCCAAACCCCCAAACTCCCAGTGAGAACTGGTCCGGTCTGGTCTGGCCTTAGCTCAGCCACAAAAGACCATGGTGTCTGCGTTCCCTGCTGAGATCAATCCTATTTACCACCCCCTGCGGGGCACAGGAACTCCAGATTGTAGACAAAGCAGACAAGCTGACTGTTTGGCCACCAACAAAACAACACAAAAATAAAAGAATATTTCTGCTGTCCCTCACAGCTTTATTTTAGCCCACCTCCCATTGTAGGGAAAATTGGTAAATGTGTTAAAGTACGTGTTCAGATTTAATCCAGCCTCCCCTTCACCCACACCTCCCCCTGCATGCTTTTTCAATTGGCCGCTGTGGTTTTTTTATTCTTCCCATCAAAGCCTACAATTCACTTAAAATTTAAGGTTAGTGTTAGCGGTTCGGATCACCTTTTTAAATATATGTGAAGTGCCCCCCTCTCAGGTCTAGGCTTTAATAGACGATTTTCAAGAGATGATTCAGACCAATGTGATGTTTTATTCTCCTTATACCTTGAAAAACAAGAATCCCAGGACAGGTACTCCTGAACTCCAGTATACAAATTCCTCCTGCTAACTCCATACTGGGCTTAGGTGACAAGATGACAATCCAGGGCATCAATTCGGAGACTAAAACATCACAGTGGTCTGATTCATCTCTTGAAAATCATCTATTAAAGCCTAGTGTGCCAACCATTCACTCATTCTGCACAAGTTCTTCTCATGCGGTGATTATCCTGTGTACTGATTTTATTTGGATTTTTCTTTTGGAATATAATTATAATTAATTATTGTAAATTCATCAATAATTTTCTGTGTTGAAGATTTTTATTCACCATTTATATGTTTTATGGAGTTTTTGCACAGAAGATTGATGTATGCAACACCTAAATACTTGCTAAAGTGATTTTTTTTCTTGACACAGCCGTTAATGCCTAAACCGCTGGCAACAAAATTGAGTACACCCCTAAGTGAAAATGTCCAAATTGGGCCCAATTAGCCATTTTCCCTCCCCGGAGTCATGTGACTCGTTAGTGTTACAAGCTCTCAGGTGTGAATGGAAAGCAGGTGTGTTAAATCTGGGTTTTATCACTCTCACGCTCTCATACTGGTCACTGGAAGTTCAACATGGCATCTCATGGCAAAGACCTCTCTGAGGATCTGAAAAAAAGAATTGTTGCTCTACATAAAGATGACCTAGGCTATAAGAAGATTGCCAAGGCCCTGAAACTGAGCTGCAGCACGGTGGCCAAGACCATGCAACGGTTTAACAGGACATGATCCACTCAGAACAGGCCTGGCCATGGTCGACCTAAGAAGTTGAGTGCACGTGCTCCGCGTCATATCCAGAGGTTGTAATTTGGAAATAGACTTATGAGTGCTTCCAGCATTGCTGCAGCGGTTGAAGGGGTGGGAGGTCAGCCTGTCAGTGCTCAGACCATATGCCGCACACTGCATCAAATTGGTCTGCATGGCTGTCATCCCAGAAGGAAGCCTCTTCTAAAGATGATGCACAAGAAAGCCTGCAAACAGTTTGCTGAAGACGATCAGACTAAGGACATGGATTACTGGAACTAGGTCCTGTGATCTGATGCGACCAAGATAAACTTATTTGGTTCAGATGGTGTTGAGCGTGTATAGTGGCAACCAGGTGAGGAATACAAAGACAAGTGTGTTTTGCCTACAGTCAAGCATGTCATGGTCTGGTGCTGCATGAGTGCTGCCAGCACTGGGGAGCTACAGTTCATTGAGGGAACCATGAATGCCAACATGTACTGTGACATACTGAAGCAAAGCATTATCCCCTCCCTTCGGAGGCTGGGCCGCAGGGCAGTATTACAACATGACGACAATGACCCCAAACACACCTCCAAGACGACCACTACTGGCCAAGCATGTCTCCAGACCTAAACTCTATTGAGCATCTGTGGGGCATCCTCACACAGAAGGTGGAGGAGCGCAAGGTCTCTAACATCTACCAGCTCCGTGATGTTGTGATGGAGGAGTGCAAGAGGACTCCAGTGGCAACATGTGAAGCTCTGGTGAACTCCATGCCAAGAGGGTTAAGGCAGTGCTGTAAAATAATGGTGGCCATTAATGGCTGTGGGTTAAGTTATTTTGAGGAGACCGCAAATTTACACTGTTATACAAGCTTTACACTCACTACTTTACATTGTAGCAAAGTGTCATTTCTTCAGTGTTGTCACATGAAAAGATATGATATATTTACAAAAATGTGAGGGGTGTACTCACTTCTGTGAGATCCTGTAAGTCACAATGTAATAGTATGTGCTGCATTTTAGTACTTTGACACAAATGGAGCCCTCCAGCATTGTGCTAACACGACTGACCCTGGTCCCCGGCGGCTTCCATCTGCACCCCCTCATCCTTCTGAGTTTTGTACCCTTGGCCATTTGAATGGCTATGCCATGGTGACGTCACATCGCCGCAACACACAGAGAGGGCCATAACTGTGGTCTGAGTTGTGCATGTGTGATTCACATCACATTACCCGCTGACAGGATAATTCATATTAAGGCAATCCATAGTCAGTTTTTTTTTTTTCTTTATTTCATTCAACCAGTGGGTTGAACAAAAAACTGATAAATAATATATATTGTGGCCCTATGTGTCTATATAACAAACAATGAAGTTATGCCCGGAATACGCCAGTAATGTCAATTATCAGCTGCCCCTAAAAAGTGAAAAACACATAGATATAAACAAACGTGAATAGGTAGACGCTGCACAACCATGTGACAAAATTTCAAAGCAAAACATATCTCTACATTTTCTAGCAGGTGATAATAACAAAGTGTGATAATACATTCTTCCTGTAACATCTAACCAATAATAGACATCTAACAACAATAGACATGATATAAATGATCACATTATGTGTAGTGACAGTCCCTTAGAGGTACATTGCTGTGGACCAAAACTTTGTGTGCTTTCACCACGTGCAGATGAAATAAGTGAGTTTCTCAGTCACCGGAAACATTTGACCTCAATCAAGGTGGTCAAATACCGCATTACTCCTAGATTGTAAGCTCCAAGGAGCAGGGCCCACGAACCCCTCGTATATTGTATTGTTACTGTACTGTCTCGTGTACTGTCTCCCATTATAATGTACAGCACCGAGCAAACTGTTGGCGCTATATAAATACTGTATAATAATAATAATTATAGTATGAATGGAAGATCTGCAACTGGCTCTCCTAGGATATCCCTCCCGGTCATCAGCACATCATAGATAATGGCCCCAGATGGATAGTCACAAGATTCCAGATAAAGCAGTAGTAAATGGGTTCTTGATACCAGGCTCTCCTTAACAATGAGGTGATGCTCCAAGCTTAAATAAATCAGATGAGTTTAAGTGTTCTAAGTGTGGTGTTTATTAAAATTAGCACAAAACGTAAACATAAGGCTTATACACTCACATGTGGAGGTCTTGATAACCAGCACCAGTCTGTATATCCTATTTACTACAAATTTTTGGAACACACAAATAATTTTTTACAAATAAATATTTGAAAAGTGTGGCGTACATTTACAGTGGGGCAAAAAAGTATTTAGTCAGGCACCAATTGTGCAAGTTCTCCCACTTAAAAAGATGAGAGAGGCCTGTAATTGGCATCATAGGTAGACCTCAACTATGAGAGACAAAATGAGAAAAAAAATCCAGACAATCACATTGGCTGATTTGGAAAGAATTTATTTGCAAATTATGGTGGAAAATAAGTATTTGGTCACCTACAAACAAACAAGATTTCTGGCTCTCACAGACCTGTACCTTCTTCTTTAAGAGGCTCTTCTGTCCTGCGCTCATTACCTGTATCAATGGCACCTGTTTGAGGTTGTGGACAGGTGTCTTTTATACTGATAAGTTCAAACCGTCACACTCCAAACTCCACTATGGTGAAGACTTAAGAGCTGTTGAAGGACACCAGAAACAAAATTGTAGACCTGCACCAGGCTAGGAAGACTGAATGTGTGAACAAATCAACTGTGGGAACAATAATTAGAAAATGGAAGACATACAAGACCACTGATAATCTCCCTCGATCTGGGACTCCACACAAGATCTCACCCCGTGGGGTCAAAATGATCACAAGAACGGTGAGCAAAAATCCCAGGACCAAATGGGGGGACCTAGTGAATGACCTGCAGAGAGCTGGGACCAACGTAACAAAGGCTACCATCAGTAACACACTACACGCCAGGGACTCAGATCCTGCAGTGCCAGACGTGTCCCCCTGCTTAAGCCAGTACATGTCCGGGCCCGTCTGAAGTTTGCTAGAGAGCATTTGGATGATCCAGAAGAGGATTGGGAGAATGTCATATGGTCAGATGAAACCGAAATAGAACTATTTGGTAGAAACACAACTCGTCTGGAGGAGAGAGAATGCTGAGTTGCATCCAAAGAACACCATACCTACTGTGAAGCATGGGGGTGGCAACATCATGCTTTGGGGCTGTTTCTCCACAAAGGGACCAGGATGACTGATCCATGTACAGGACAGAATGAATGGGGCCATGTATCATGAGATTTTGAGTGCAAACCTCCTTCCATCAGCAAGGGCATTGAAGATGAAACGTGGCTGGGTCTTCCAACATGACAATAATCCCAAACATACCGCCCGGGCAATGAAGGAGTGGCTTCGTAAGAAGCATTTCAAGGTCCTGGAGTGGCCTAGCCAGTCTCCAGATCTCAACCCCCATAGAAAACCTTTGGAGGGAGTTGAAAGTCCGTGTTGCCCAGCGACAGCCCCAAAACATCACTGCTCTAGAGGAGATCTGCATGGAGGAATGGGCCAACATACCAGCAACAGTGTGTGCCAAGCTTGTGAAGACTTTCAGGAAACGTTTGACATCTGTCATTGCCAATAAAGGATATATAACAAAGTATTGAGATGAACTTTTGATATTGACCAAATACTTATTTTCCACCATAATTTGCAATAAATTCTTTCCAAATCAGCCAATGTGATTGTCTGGACTTTTTTTTCTCATTTTGTCTCTCATAGTTAAGGTCTACCTATGATGCCAATTACAGGCCTCTCTCATCTTTTTAAGTGGGAGAACTTGCACAATTGTTGGCTGACTAAATACTTTTTTGCCCCACTGTATATTCAGCCCCCTTTTACTCTGATAACCCTAATAAAAATCAATTGCATTCAGAAGTCACCTAATTAGTGAATAAAGTCCACCTGTGTGTAATTTAATCTCAGTATAAATACAGCTGTTCTGTAAAGCCCTTTGAGGTTTTTCTGAGAACATCAGTGAACAAACAGCACCATGAAGGCCAAGGAACACACCAGCCAGGTCAGGGATAACGTTGTGGAGAAGTTTAAAGCAGGGTTAGTTTATAGAAAAAAAAAAATATCCCAAGCTTTGAACATCTCACGGAGTACTGTTCCATCCATCATCTGAAAATGGAAATATTATGGCACAACTGCAAACCTACCAAGACATGGCCGTCCACCTAAAAATTACAGGCTGGGCAAGGAGAGCATTAATCAGAGAAGCAGCCAAGAGGCCCATGGTAATTCTGGAGGAGCTGCATAGATCCACAGCTCAGGAGGGATAATCTGTCCACCGGACAGCTATTAGTCGTGCACTCCAGAAATCTGGCCTTTATGGAAGATTGGCAAGAAGAAAGCTATTGTTGAAAGAAAGCCATAAGAAGTCTCCTTTGCAGTTTGCGAGAAGCCATGTGGGGGGACACAGCAAACATGTGGAAGAAGGTGCTCTGGCCAGATGAAACCAAAATTGAATTTTTTGGCCTAAAAGCAAAACGCTATGTGTGGTGGTAAACTAACAATGCACATCACTCTGAACACACAGTTCCCACCGTGAAATTATGGTAGTGGCAGCATCATGTTGTGCAGATGCTTTTCTTCAGCAGAGACAGGGAAGCTAATCAGAGTTGATGGGAAGATAGATGGAGCCAAATACAGGGCAATCTTAGAAGAAAACCTGTTAGTCTGCAAAAGACTTGAGACTGGGGTGGAGGTTCACCTTCCAGCAGGACAACGACCCTAAACATACAGCCAGATTTACAATGGAATGGTTTAGATCAAAGCATACTCGTGTTAGAATGGCCCAAAGTCCAGACCTAAATCCAATTGAGAATCTGTGGCAAGACTTGAAAATTGCTGTTCACAGACACTCTCCATCCAATCTGACAGAGGTTGAGCTATTTTGCAAAGAAGAATGGGCAAAAATGTCACACTCTAGATGTGTGAAGTTGGTAGAGACATCCCCAAAAAGACTTGCAGCTGTAATTACAACGAAAAGATGGTTCTACAAAGTATTGACGCGGGGGGCTGAATATAAATGCCTGCCACACTTTTTTCAGATAAATTTGTAAAAAATTTTGAAAGCCATTTATCATTTTCCTTCCACTTCACAATTCTGTGCCACTTTGTGTTGGTCTATCGCATAAAATCCCAATAAAATACATTTATGTTTTCGGTTGTAACATGACAAAATGTGGAAAATTTCAAAGGGTATGAATACTTTTTCAAAGCAACCGTAAGTGTTGGGATGGGGGAAGGGGGCATTTTTAAGATTAGGCAGGTGTTAGCCTAGCATTCAACTCAGAAGGAAATCGTGGGGCATGCTTCCTGTGTGACTTATTCTGCACTTTGTCTAATCAGATTCTTTGATATTTCACAGAGCATGGATCTTTTTATCTTCTTAGGACCCCTTCAC